ATATATATGAGCGCAGCAAGAAGCAAGGTAATCAGTGATGGCTAACTTGTCTTTGTATATTGCTCGTTGCTAGCAATGGAAGGATTCATTTTGTTGAATTTATCTTAAATGTCAAAGTTTTCTTTTCCTTTGTATCAGAGTTTGCGGAGGGAGTGTTGACGGTATTTTTTTAGCATAGAATGTAACCCTTTACTATTGGATCCTCCTGAAGTGTGCAGGTCTTGGTCTGAAGAGAGAAAGTATTACACTTTGTTTACTTTCAAGTTAAAAGAAAAAATTTAGCTAGGTATGTCTTCAAAAACAGTTCTGTATGTTTTTACTCTTAGCTGCTTTACAGACAAATTAAAGGGTGGACCTAGATATAAAAACAGTAGTTCTGTCTATGGTGAATAAGAGTAACTTTTCTAGCATAATAAATGTATTTTGGTTGTAAATATATGGCTTTGTTTTCTGAGTATGTGCTAGAAAAAAAATTCTGAATAGTGAGGTAAAGTCTTTCATGTGCTTAGCATTTTAAAACATTAAGATAGAAAAATTGTGACTGAAGCTTGATTCTTAGTGATACTCAGTTACCTAAATAAAAGGACTGTTTACAGAAGTCATAACTGTGAAGAAATCTTATTCCTTTCAACAGGTTTTGTGTGTAAAGGACCCATAAATGTTGACCAATTTTTATATATAAATACCTGAACTGTTTAATGTAAGTCTTGCCATTGGTGATGTATTTGTATTTCCCAGCATACTCTGTGTGACTTAGACCATTAGCAAATAATTAAGGAAAGAATGACACTTCTTAAATTATATCCTGCTGCATCTGGCAAAGCACAGTTTTGAGGTGGAGATTGTAAGGGCCCTTACTTGAGGTCAATAATTAATCTATCTTTTGGGAATTTGTCTGGCCTGTTTTTTGAACCTATATATTATGCTTATCTATGTTTGTATTTAAGTTGTGCTTACTTAATGTTACAAACTGTCTAAATTAGCTACTATTTCTGATCTGTTATGATAAGTACTGTACAGTGAGTTGAGTTCCTGTCCCCAGAAGCTTGTATTTTAAATAGAAAACAGATAAATATGATGGTGAACCTAACATGTAACGAGTAGTCTTGTATCATACTTATGTTAGAGTTTGCCAATACAAAGTTCTTTTTTCTTAATATTTTCATTTTTTTCCCCATGTTACTTGCTAGAGGAGATGGTAAAGAAAAAGTAGAGAAAGAGTGCTATTGAAGGGATCAGAGGAAGAGAGAAGAATGTGTTATATGAGAAGGTGAAAGAATTAAGCAGCGAACAGTTGAAATCTTTCTCTATTACTCAGCCACTTGAGAGGAATAAGATCACCCAGTGTATAAGCACTTGAGAGTCTGTAGGTGTTTTTCCTTACTCAATTGTTACCTGAATTGTTAATGATGAGTTGGACAATAACTGCTGTGGATTCAACTGATCATATGGATTTTACAGCTGAGTATGAGAAAATAATAAGCTGCTGGAGGCTTATACTTGTAACAGTCCAATGACTTGCTGCTCATGGTATGATGCTAGTGCCACTTAGAGCAGTCGGGGTTTCTCTTGTACCTCCAAGCAAAGGAAAACAGTGCCAAAGAATGCCTACTGACTTTGTACTATGAAAGCTAAGTTCCCTAGCACAGAATGTATAAACGACCCTCGGAGAGACAAAATTGTAAAGTACAAGTTCAGGCTTTGTTTTTAAAATGCTTGTTTTCTCATGACTTGAGTGAAATAAAAATACTAGTTATCAGTGAACTTTTTACTTATGCCACACATGACATGAAAATAACTACTTCAGCTGCCCTTTGACATTGGTTTCTACTCTCATTGCTGTGTAAAGTTGTCATTCTAGAAAACAATCTTTCAGGCAGGATATTTCTGTAAGAGATTAAATAGAATTCTATTTTATTTTATTTTACATTTTATTATAGGCTTAATTACTGCAGAAGACAGACGAGTTGGTACCACAAACCTGCACTTGGATGTGTCTGATGCTGTTAATGTCATGGTGTATGTGGGGATTCCCATTGGGGAAGGGACCCACGATGATGGTAATGTTTGAGGAAAGCTGTTTTCTGTCCATTAAAAATTAATTGTGTGTGTGAGAAAGAAGACTGTACCTTTTATTGTTTAAGCTCGTTATCTCTATGATATATAACCCAAATATACAAGGCAGTTTGCCATGTCTGCAGCACATGTCTAAAAGTGCCGTAATGCTCCATTGGTTCTCAACTGTGGAAGCAGCAGAGTTTTGCTAGAAATTAGATACCTCCCTAAAGAAAGGAGAAGAAAGGGTGATAAGTTACTCTTTCTTGTCCTTGTATTTGATTAATTGTAGTTTGTTCAGTTTGAATTCATGACTGAGCTTTGTGATTAACTGTCATTTGACATGTTTCCTGAATCTTGTTAGGATGAAGCTTGATGTGCTTAGAAAGGACACTATATGATGCAGCAGTAGTGTGACTGGATTTAGTGGCTCAGAATACTCCTTCCTCTTGTATATGTCAAAAATCAAAAGCTTTATAATCATATTGCATTTATGTGGATTCCACTTTCAGAGGTTCTGAAGACAATTGATGAGGGAGATGCTGATGATGTAACAAAACAGCGAATTCATGAAGGAAGGGAGAAACCTGGAGCGTTGTGGCACATCTATGCTGCCAAGGATGCTGAAAAGATAAGGGAACTTCTCCGGAAGGTATGTTGGTTACAAAGGAGGCATGAGCCAACAGGATTCCTTGACTAGTTTACAGCAGCTGAACAATACAACTTGCTATCAACATAAAGTGCATAGTTATTCTAATGCTGTATTTGAGGACAGCGGAGGGCAACAAAGATGATTAAGGGACTGGAACATCTCTTTTGAGGAAAGACTGAGGGAACTGGATCTGTTCATCCTGGAGAAGAGAAGACTGAGAGGGGATCTCATCAATGCTTATAAATACTTTTAAGGGCAGGTGTCAAGACGATGGGGCCAGACTCTTTTCAGTGGTGCCCAGTGACAGATTAAGGGGCAGTGGGCACAAACTGAAACACAGGAAGTTCCACCTGAATATGAGGAAGAACTTGTATACTTTGAGGGTGACATAACACTGGAACAGTCTGCCCAGAGAGGTTGTGGAGTCCCCTTCTCTGGAGATACTCAAAACCTGCCTTGGACGTGTTCCTGTGCCACTTGCTGTAGGTGAACCGGCTTTGGCAGGGGGGTTGGACTAGATGATCTCCAAAGGTCCCTTCCAACCCTGACCATTCTGTGATTATGTTCCCAGGTTTTCAGCCTAGTCTAGAATCTTCATACTAATGCATATGCCACTAGTTAAGACCTAAATGACCTTAATGAAAGTAATGTCCTACCTTGAAATTGTTTGTTTGTTATGTTTTTTGGTACGTAGCTTTTTGTGAGCCAGCAATATCAAGGTGCTGTGTCGTGGTTTTCCCCCACCCCTACCCCGTATCTTGGCCCTAGGTTGGAGAAGAACAAGGCCAAGAAAATCCCCCAGATCATGACCCCATTCATGACCAAAGTTGGTACTTGGACCAGACCTTACGTAAGCGACTTTATGATGAGTATGGTGTACAAGGCTGGGCAATAGTGCAGTTCCTTGGAGATGCTGTGTTCATTCCTGCAGGTGCTCCCCATCAGGTAAGTATGCCAACTGTAAGCCATATTGACAAATAGAATTGAATTTGAGGCACAACAGAACTGTGACTTCAAAATAACTGTTAGTTAATATTGCTGATTTACATTCCTTTTTGTGTGTATGCAGTTCTTAGAGGAACTATTTGAATTGGATCTTAGTCATTATATTAGTAAAAATTATATAAATGCCTGAATGATGCGTACAGTACTGTGATGGCATTAAGGAAAAAAAAATTAGGGTGAATGGTGGAAAACACTTTTGTGTAGGGAAATTCAGCCAAGGGAACAGAATTCCAAAAAAGTGTGGAGAACAGTAGAGAACTTGCTTTAGGGAGCGCTAGTGTATGTGGGAGAGAGAATAGGGAACATGTGAGATGTCATGTATTTCGTTCTGGTTTTACTATTAGACACAATTCTGTGAGATCAAATAGGCTTCAATTCCTGTTTCTGATAAGTAAATGTGGAAGAACCTAACATATGTGGTGGTAGGTTTTGGAGGGTTTTGTATGGTTCATTCAATCTTGATATATCTATTATTTGATACGGGTTTTTTTAGGTCCATAATTTGTACAGCTGCATTAAAGTGGCAGAAGATTTTGTGTCTCCAGAACATGTGAAGCACTGCTTCCGTCTGACCCAGGAGTTCAGGCACCTGTCTAATACTCATACAAACCATGAGGATAAACTGCAGGTAACCATTTTATGTCAGTAGTCACTAAATATATCCTGTGTTTTGCTGGCCTTGTTCAGTACTAGAAACGTGTGGCTAGTGATTTAAGAAAAAGTAACAACTTTCCACAACTTTGGAGGTTCTTACTTGATAAATATTTGAAAAATAATGATGTGCCTGTGTCTATGGTGTTATGTAAACAAAAATTAGTAATAAACTTTTGGATTGCCAGAGAACTTTCCCACTATTGGACTAGTGCATGTGTCAGTATTAATGAGTCTTTAATGGCTGAATCCTGAATGACAATGAAGCGTAGCAGAACTAAAAAAAAAGTATTAAAAAGGAAAAAGCAGTGCTTTGTTTTGAAGAGATATGTTTATTTGACCAAGGACACTTGTATTTGTTTCTTTATTGCCTAAAGAACAAATGCTCTGAAAGTGAAACCTTGCTTATTTAAATCAGGGATATGGTTTAGTGGTGAACTCAATGGTTGGTTTACAGTTTGGACTCAATGATCTTAAAGGCCTTTTCCAACCTAAATGATTCTGTGATTCTAAATTAGTCCTAAACAGGAAAATTAAATATGTGTTGCAGAAGTGTGACTGCTTAAACTAGTAATTATGCACAGAACATACGCACTGTAGTAGTACATGGTGTATAAGACAGTAAGTTCTGCAGAGGGAAGACTGTAGGAGACCTTTTTTGATTTTTACCTACATATGCTTCTGAAGAGTTACTATCTGTTTAGTTTGAAAATGTTGTCAGCATTTTTTGTGTATTAATAATCTCATGCATGTAAAGTGAAGGAGGGTGGAGATCTGCAGAATGGCTGTTCTTGCAAAAGTGAGTACTCAATATATAGCCATTCTCCAGTACATCACCCAAGAATGTCAGAACTTACCTTGGTAATTCTCTGAAACAATTCAGTGAAAAATTGCTATAAATTTCTACATAGATTTGCACAGGATTTTAAAGGGAAGCAGTAAGATGAACTCTCATTGTGGGGATCCAGTTTCTAACACTGTCCCTTTTCAGCTGCAGTGATACAGATGTGGAATTGTTTTTGTAAATGAATAGGTTGCAAATTATTAAAAAAAATGCTTATTATTTTAAAAAAATAAGGGAAAAAAGTAACTGCTGGCAAAGTGGAGCTCAATACTCCTTTGAAAAGGAATACTGGTTGCATTTCTGCCTCACAGCCAAACTTTACCATTCTTCTTTGTCACTTTTCATGTATATTTTTATAGTATTTTTATTTAAACATATGTCTCTCTTTTTGTAAATATGTGTTGAAAAAAATACACAGAGACAATAACTGTCACATAAATGGTACAAAAGACTGAGATCATATGTACATCAGGAAAAAATGATGGTGCTTGGCAGTTAGTTGAGCAAGTGCAATTAAGCTGCTCACTTAGAGGTGAAACTGTTAATCCAGTTTCTAGGTATTGGATGTAAAATAAATTTGGATCAGAAAAATCAGAAACAAGATAGAGCTTTGATTGTTAAATAGCTAAGCATGGAACAGACTGCTGTAAGTACTAGGGGATTTTTCATCTCTGATCTTGCTTGCCTTTCTGGAAGATGCACAACTTAGAAGAATTTCTAGCCTCCATACAAAGACAACAGGATGATTTGTTGCATCATCTTAATTTACATAGGATTGAACCATATGATTTTCTTGCTCCTTTTGAGTTTGATTCATGTGAATCTGTAAGTAACTTGAATCGCAACGACTTTTTCAAAATAAACTCATGTGCAGGACTTCATAGTGTACTTCCTCCTAGCCCTCACAAAAGACAGACTTTAACTTAAAATAACATGAGTAATATATGTTGCTGGGTGACCAGAAAATGAGTTAATAAATCAGTCAGGTGTCTTAAAATATTTGTTGTCTAACTGTGACAGTTACAATTTGTGCTGTTGATATCCTGAAGCAGTGATAGTATATACTTTGTGTATCCTTGCCAACTAGCTGTCAAAGTTGATTGTATAGGTAGGTAAGACTCTCCTTGTTAGTCTGTAGAAGTTGATTTTTTTTTTTCCTGTTGCAGGTGAAGAACATTATCTACCATGCAGTGAAAGATGCTGTCGGCACACTGAAAGCTCATGAATCCAAACTAGCTAGATCATAGGAATTGCTAATTCCAAATGCCCTGTGAAGTAAGCTTTTTGCTCACAGTATATACAGGGACTGCACATGACTGCCTCTGCAGGAGCAGAGGCTTCTCACTAAGAGCTGGTGTGGTCAGTATTACACACACTCTTCAGCCACTGTTTTCTGCGCTGCCTCAACACTGAAAGTCTAATGGAAGGTCGCACTGTTACATGCAGAATTCCAGATTCTAATGAAAGGTGCCATGTCCCTTTCCTGTGGCCTTTTGCAAATTGGAAGAACATGGAAGCCACTTGGTATTCCTGCATATTATGATTAGAAATGGTATAAAGAGTGTGGATGTGTTTTTTTTGGTTTTGGTTTTTTTTTTTTTTCCTCATGCCTAATTAGTCTCCATGAAGTCAGAAGGAATGTGCTGGAGGTGGGTTGTCCTACTGCAGACTTAGTTGATAGCTGCTGAAGGAGTGTGACCAACAGTAGCCCAACTGCAGAAATTCAGGCAAACTTCCCATGTGAGATACAGGCCAAGGAAAAGAATAAAGCTATTCTCTGCACTCCCCTTCTTGTAGCCGTTTCTCTATACACTGTAGAGTTGCAGAAATAAAGGGAGAACCCACTTTTTTTCCCCAGGAGGCTCCAGAAATAGGAGAATTGTGTATTTAGTGAAAAACTAGGTTTGTAGTGAAACAGTTAATATTTCATGAAAGTAGATATTTTTAGTATTTTTGAAGTACCACAACTGTTCCTGGATTTTCAAGGAAAGGCGCATTACATTTAGTCTTCCTTTCAATAAATTCAAGAAGTGATTTTTAGAAAGCAGTCCAAAATAGCACAAAAACAGCCAAAGGAGAGTGAATAGAAATTGACACCCCACCTCCCTCGCCCATATTGCTCACCCATCTTCGCCCCCTCCCTATGCCACCCTGCTTCCTCAGAATGAGAAGTAAAAAAGAGTATGAACTCTGTTCTCGTGTGGAGATGTTGTACATCTCTCCCTGCACTGGTGACTGCAGGCAATAGTTTACCCAATACCAGTGCTAGCTGAAAACGTTTATCCTTTCCAAAGTGAAGGAAAAGTTAACTTTCAGTGTCAACTTTGTCCAGAACTATTTTAAGTAAAATGTTTCTGCTTGATAGAACTGTATTCAGAATTTACTAATGTCAGCATTGATGCAATGGATTTCATTGTCCGGGTACATGGGGAAATGTATCTACCTTATATCCAGCTGTACTGTAGTGCCACCTGCAGGCCTGTTAATATGTTCACGGTTATTTCATTTTTTTAAAAATAAAAGTCATTTACTGTAACAGCCTGGGCAATTTCTTTCAGACTTGTACACTGATCTTCCTGCTTTCAGTTAGTCTCAGCTTCTGCCTCTAACAGGTAGCCTACAGTACCAATTTCTAGCCTTGTGTCTCACCAGAAGACTTGAGTATTTTATGCCTGGCATCCCAAGTACGTGCTAGGAGTATACCAAGCTACCTGCAGATTCTTGATTCTCAGAGATAGTTTGGGTGGAGGATCTGTCTTGTCATAAGCAACATCTCTTGTGCTGTGCTCTCTGCCTCTCACTATCTTCCTAACAGGTTGGGGTTCAGAGCTGCCCTCTCCACTGGAGAGATGGATGGGGTGGTACAGGTTCCCTGGTTTCTGACCTTGGAGGTTGTGATTGCGGCAGCAGCAGTTCTGTTCACTGACATGTGGCATGCTGGCAGCTTCTCTGGTTGGTTACTGGGTGCAACTAGTTCACTTCTGGACTTTTGCTGCCTTCATACCCTTGCAGCTATCCTGTGAATATGGGCTAATTCAGTCTGCTACAGATGAAAAGCATTATCCCAGACTAGACCCATGAACCATTTAACTTTACCATATTCCTATTTTGCAGAATTTCTTCTGCACTTGTGTGGTACTTTTTGCATACAACCCATTCTGAATGGTTAGTTATAGCTGAGATGGTTCCCTCGTTTGTGTGTATATTGGCAATTAGAATTAGATAAAGATCAAAAAGACAAAGATGACTATGTATAATGCAATAGCTTCAGTCATTCCAATGCAGTGATCTATACTAAAGAGTTCTGTATCTCATGCTGAACCTTTGTTTGGTTTGAGTCTCAGACATTGTTTCTGTCTCTTGAATTGCCTCTTTTATTAATCCTAGAGTACAATCAACCTAAAGCAATATTCAGCCAAAATCAGAAGAATGTTTTGCACAAAAATTACAGATTAAAATTAAGAAATACGTAGCAATCCAGATTTTAGACCAGATGAGGACAGGAAGAATTTGTAAATTGATCTGGCAAATCAGTTCTAGTAACTTATATTTGAAAGCTTTTATCCTTTATCTGGATTGTATGCATCAGGAGATGGAGATTACCACTTCTTTTGGCAAGTTTTGTCAAGTAGGTAGTTTTGTTTCATATGGGGCATTTGCATTTATGTAGATTCAGAATCCACTTATCAATTCTTGCTTGTTTTCCACCAAGAGAAGGTCTTCAGTTGATTAAAAGCTGTAACTCTCGGGTCTTAGAATTGTGTTCAACTAATTAAAATGTAGCTGTTACTGTACAGCAGTTTCAGAATTTCTGAAATAGAATTTTCATGTATTGTGTATCTGCAAACACATAGGTTTTATTTATTAATACTAATCATATATATATAGATCATATATAACATTACATATATATTACACTTCGTGTATACAGATAAAACCCTGACAACTGCAGGGGTTTGTTTTGAGTTTGTTTTCTTTCAAATATGCTTCGCTTCTGCTTTCTGCTGTGTAGCCTTACATGGTCAGGGATATTTTATGGTACTTGTAATTAGACTGTGAAGCTCGCTGCAAATCTGGCATGTTGATGCCAGGAGTAACTGTATTTAGAGCTGAAAGATTTAATTATGCTTTGTTTGAAAGTATGTACGTTTGTTAGCTTAGTAATTTAACTGGGCTCCAGAGCCTTTTTTCCCCAAGAAATGTTTGTCCTCTGTTTACCCCTTTGACCATTTTCATAGCTTCTTCGTTCTTTTGTATGCCATTTCACTCCCCTGATTCATCTGTCTTCCAAGATGAACAGTTCTGGACTGTAGAATCTTTGTATAGAATCTGGTTAGTGCCTTTGATTGTTCTTCTTGACTTTCTTGTGCCTCCTTTTTGTTCAGCTACCCCATTTTTGAGGGAAGATGATTGAAGCTATGTGCAGGGTTTTAAAGTTTGTTCACCATGCATTTCTGTGGTGAGATAATGGTGTTCATTATTCATTTCTGAAACATTTCTGTTGTTGCATTTCTTACTAGTGCTAAGCATTGAGATTTCCAGTAGTGATGACTCTACTCTTTCCTGAGTAGTGACAGCTAACCTAGGGCCTGTCACATACACATTTATACATGTATGGTTAGGGTGCTCTCAAGGGCATGTGTTAGGATTCTCTCAACAGTGTGTCTGAAGAGTCAGTATAAGCACTCACCCTCCAGTACCCACCACTGGCTCTATCATACTTCTTATAGAGCTTATAGCAAAAGTAGCCTGCCAAAGTGATTATAACATTGTTTTAAGATGTACAATCAGTATTTTATCACAGTATTTTCTGGTTACAAATTTTAAGGGGTAGCTGGTATGTTACCTGGAATGTAAGCAGATTAAAAGAGACATTATAAATCAGAAGTTTTTGAGCAGAGGGAAATAATGTCAGATGCATGTCTTAAAATTTAGTTCGCTGCAGTCATGACACTTGTTCTACTGAATGCTGTCTGCCATTACTAAATAGAACTGAACAAGATAGTGGGCAGGCACCATTTTTGAATATTGGCTTTAAGCTCTGGCTCTCTTTTAGCCAGTGTCCTGTGGAACTACAGACAAGTGGAAGCAGGAATTCAGGATTATATGGCTGTTGGCCTGCCCAAGTGAATTTGGATTGTATTCACAATACATGAAGCCTGGTGTGTGCTCAGCCATGCAAGGGCATACTCAGCACTGTCATTCAACAGTTTCACTGAGCCTTCAAAATGTTGCACAGGACACATTCATCTTTTTCTCTGTCTCAGATGAATAAGAAGAAATAATGTCCCCGGTCTGAAGATTTCACTTTTCAACTTAACAACTCTTTCCTTTTCTTGGTATTGATTAAAAATGTCACAGTCTGCAAAGGTTACCAGAAGTTGAGACATGGATATTCTTTAAAATTACTGCTCGCATGTACATATGACTTCCCTCTCCTCCCTGACTTCTGATAGCCCTTTGATAGCTCTCTGAGCTTCTACAGTTAAGAGCTATTGGTTGAGCTTTATGACACTTGCTAATGACGTATTCATGTATCGAGGATATTTTACAAGCATTGCTTTGGTGGAAAAGGAGTGTGAAACCAAACAGGATGTGAGTGAAGCATAGCCTGGAAGCACCTGTGGACAACACATCTTACAGGCTCTGGTTACTGGTAAGTAGTCTTATCTTCTGATTGTTAACTTCAGTGTTTTCCCAAAGTTATCCCCTGTCTATCTGGGATGCATAGACCTGCTTGTGGTCACTCTCTCCCAGTGCATCTCAGAATCTGAAATCAGCCCACAGGTTCCTTTCCTCTTAATTGGCAGTGTCTTTAAGATCCCTATTCTCAACCTTTTCAAAAGAGCTCCATGCTCCCACCAGGCATTTGAAAAATAACCAGGCAGAACACATCTTACTTTTCTCTCTTATCTCCCTCGTCCCCCTGCCTTACAAGAGCTTTTTATTGTATCTCTCTGCCTTTATGTAGGCTAATACGAAAATGGTAAAGTAAGTTTCAAGAGCTAGATACAACAAAATACAGCTGCTTCTGATTCCCCTAGGAAGGTCTCTTCCTACTGAACAGCTTTCAGTCCCAAAGCAAAACAGGTAAAGAAGGGAAATGTTATCACAATAATTTCCAGTCCTAGGGCCTTACCTCCTACAGTGTCTGTTTATAGTTTCTCTGTTTTCCCTGTCCCTTCAGCATTTGATACTTCTCCATTACAGTCTGCACCTTTAAGCTTCAGAGAGAGGGTTCCCATTGCATTCTTCCACTTCACCTTTCTTCCCAAGACCCTTATTAATTCTGCTAAACTTTTCCAGAGGCACTCTTGTGTTTTTGAGGCTTGACTAATTGCTGTTCCTCTTCATTACAGCAGCTTCTTCCTGAACCT